CACCCATTTTACCTCTCAAAATATTACGGCTAATAGTTTGAGCCTGTCGTTGTGGTACAGTATTCCATATAGTGCCATCTTTGCTAGTCAAAACAGCAGATTTCAAGCGTTCGTCTTCAATATCGGACGCTTCTAAGTCAAAATTTTTGGGAACATATTCCTCTTCATCTGAAGTAACAAAAGGCTCCTCATCAGACGTCAGGTGTTGACCTTCAGTGAATATTACTATTATATTTATTATTTTATATTTACTGTTTTCTTCCTATTTCCTTTGACACCTTGGTTTACGCAATCCAACGATAGTATCTGTCATTTTTTTATCAACACCGCAATACTATTATATAGAGCAAAATATTATAAATTTATAATTTAACTACGATATTTATAACTATAAGATATCACAATAGAATAAACGAAGACCTGATCTGACGAGTTTCCATTGCACGTGTAGATGAGATTCAAGTTCGAACATGTTCATAAACAGGACTAAATACATAAATGCTTACTTATGATATGTTAAGTGAAATTGTTTCTTAAACTAAAGGTGGTACAAATCGATTGCAATATCAAACAGTAAGATTTTTCGTATCTAGTACCCGGATACTATTCTTGTCATTAGGCGGTGTTTTATTTCCCAGTCACATAAGGGTTAAGAATACCATTTGGATGAGATATAATAAAAAGATCACGATTAATGTAAAAAGAAGCAAGATGATGGGTTAATAGAGACTCCAAGATCCAAATCCTCCATTAATGCTGCCGCATCTAGCATTTCTTCTCTTGAATACAAGATATATTTGGTCTACTACTATGTTGAGGTACATATCCAAAAAATTCATACCATATCAACTGTCTGGATATTTCAGTCTTGGCACTTCTATGAGTTTCCTGAACGTAAAGTCAATATCATACTCTTAATTTGTTACAACAACTTGGTCATCAGCAACAAAAAGAGTTGTCAGAGTTTGATCTTCTATCTCTGCCGTTCTTCACCTCTACTTAAGACGTTTCGTTGTCGAAAAGGAGTCAGATATCGAATTTCCCATCTTAATAACACTCTTGCAGTACTAGTCTAAGCCCCTTTCTAGATCAATGAAGACTAAATAGGTGGAGAAATCCCTCAAATTGTGGTTTTCGATTACTTGTTGGAGGTCGAAAATATTATCAGTACAAGACCTTACTGCACGGAAACCACTCTGTTCTTCCACGTCGTCTCATTCTATTTCAATCCTATTTTTTAAGACTTTGCCATACAGCCTCCCCTTGCACTAGTAACACTTATGCCTCGATAATTTTGGCACAACCTTTTATTTCCTTTTTTGAAGATTAAGCTGATGTTAGCTAAGCTTCTTCCAACAATACACCTGTTGATGTGTTGCCAAAAATGTGTATAATATCTGGAGTTCATGGTTGGCCATCTCAATGTTTTTTCAGACTTCTCATTAATATAATATATATTTTTCTATAAAAACATTTATACAGGGTGTTTCATTTAAAATGACATATGCTTATATCTCGAAAACCAAAACTCGAATTGAAAAAAGTTTCACAGGGTACACATGAGCAGATTTTTTTTCAGGGTTGCCTAAAGGCCCTTGTGACGACATTTTTTCAAATCGCACATATACTTTTTTCTTTCAACGTCTTGAACAACTTGACAAACTAAGTATTTTTTGCTTAAAAATTTTTTTTCTTAAATTCTGCGTTATGAAAAAAATTTAATTAATAAAAAAACGATTTAATTAATCGTAAAAAAATACTAAAATTCTTCTTCATTTTTGAAATCACCTTAGAACATTGATTAAAATTTATAAAGTTACCTTTATACATCGATTAAATGCTAAAAATGATGACCATTCACATCTAAACATTTCTGAATTCTCATTGAAAACGTTCTCTGCACATTGCCAAGCATTTCTTCAGTTATTGATTCGCAAGCTGCTCCGATACGGTTTTTCATATCGTTTGGTGTTGTTGGAACCTGATTGTAAACTTTCTCTTTGAGGTAACCCCAAAGAAAGAAATCGGGAGAAGTTAAGTCGGGTGATCTAGCTGGCCAATTCACCGGTCCATTACGTCCTATCCATTTTTCAGGAAACATCTCGTCTAAAACTTCTCTTGCGGCTAGAGCATAATGAGATGGACATCCATCATGCTGATACCATAGCGCAAGTCTTCGCTCCAGAGTAAGGTTCCAACAAAACCGGTAAATCGTTCAATAAAAAATTCCGATACTTTCTGCCATTCATTAACTGACCATGCACCAGATGCACCAGACATTAACTGACCAAGGTTTTTGATGATCAACTTGTCTTAGCCAACGAGGATTTTCATGTGACCAGTAGTGCATGTTATGACGATTTACTTGGAAGTGATTGGTGAAAGAGGATTCGTCGGAAAATAGCACATTGAAGAAAAAATTTTCATTCAATCTTAATTTTTCCATTGCCCAAGTACAAAATTGCTTGTTGGTGTAGAGAAACATGATACGGATAAAACTTCAAAATCCGATGTACACTCGTTAACAAAATGCCTGAATCTTTTAACAATTGACGGCAACTTACATGAGGATTAACATCTACAGCTGCTAAAACAGCTGCTGAATTTTCTGTGGAGTAGAGAATTTTTGCTTTGATCACAATGATTTTTTCGCTTGAAATTTTTATCCCACGTGCAAGTTAGCGCACATCCAAACAAGGTTTAGAACAGGATTTACTCCATTTATAAACATTAAAAAAAAATTTTTAATCAATTATCTAAATCGATTTCAAAAGTTAAGAAGAATTTTAATATTATTTTACGATTAATTATATTATTAATTATATCGTTTTTTTATTAATTAATTTTTTTTAATTACATTTTGAAACATGTTATTTTATTTTTATTTTTGTTGATATCTTCACAGCGGAGAGTTTAAGAAAACAAATTTTTAAGCAAAAAGTAATCAGTTTGTCAAGTTGTTTAAGACTTTGAAAGAAAAAAGTATATGTGCCATTTGAAAAAATAAAAATGACGTCAGAAGGGCCTTTAGGCCCTTCTCACCAAAAAATGTTTACTTGAAACTTTTTTCGATTCGAGTTTTTGAGATATAAGCATATGTCATTTTAAATGAAACACCCGGTATACAATATTTATTTGTATATTTCATATTTGAAACAAACATTTGAGACCTGCTATACTCACTATCTCATTAATAATACGTATCAAACTACAATGCATCAGCAGAAACCAAACCTTCCAATTTGCACATATAAAAGCTGTTTGGAGGTGCATTTTCAGATTAAATATACGTATCTGGCTGATGGCGCATTTACGCGCTAACGAGTTTGACGTCATTTTTATAAACAAAATTTTAAAAAAACATGCAAGCTATTGTTCAGAAATTGATTCTAACGAATGATGTTGATTTTTTTTTTGTAATCAATATTCATGGAAACAAATATTATTTCTTTCTATATGGGTTTTTTTTCTTTCGTGTTGTTGAAATGGCGTTGTGTAAATATCATTATATTCGTTTGAAATTGAAAATAAAATTAATGATAATTATATGGAGTTTTGAAGTTTTATGGTGTAGTAAAAACACTATAAAACCGGACACCTGAAAACGTAGAACCTCGACCATTACGGGAGGATGTATGCACATTCGCTCATAATCTTTAGAGTGTTATAGTGTAGGGTGCCTTATACGAGCAACTACTAAACAGTGCTTCATCTTCTTAAGGCCGTTAAAACTTTAAAGGTCCACACAGAACAAAACGGAACGGCCGAGGCGCAATGCTTTCCTCCTCAAATAGCATTTGCATTTTGTAACTGCTAATCGGATAAGGATTCTAAGGCTTCTCGGATGAATCGATAGAGAAGGAAATTGACATGATGCTCTGATTTCCTACGCCTTCAACAGTTTTCGAACACAAACAATCGGTTTTCCTTCGACGGGTTGATAGGGCTAAGGAATTTATGCTTCTAACGGCAGAAGGAGGGATCGTTTAAGAGTTCATCCAATAAAAGGATGTCGTCGGAAATGATGAAATATTCATTTTCGACTAGTTCATCATAATTCCGCGGGGAACGTGTGGGCGCTTTTGATAATCTTGATAACCAATTCCTATAAATAAAATGATGTCCGTCTATCGTGGGACCAATATATCTACTGCGGTACTTTTCAAAGTTGAATACAGCGGAGTTATTTTAAATATTGACATCCGTGCATAAAAATAAATAATCGAGAGATCGTGGGTTTATTTATTATTTATCAGTTTTTCGGGGCGGGCCAATTTCACCGCAGCAACGATCCCGGCAAATTTGCGTTCTATAACAATACAACTGTTCCCAATTCATGCAAACACGAGAGTACCAAATTTTATTGTGTCAATATTGGCTGGAGCTCTATATTGTGGGTCCCGCCGCAATGTTATGCGATAAAATTTTCACCGTTTCGGTTGACACGAAGTTTGTATGTCGCGGCGTCAAAAACGGAAAGCGACAAGTTTGATTAAATAAATACAATTGGATCAAACACAGTCTAAAGTGTAATAAGAGCGAATTGAAAATGAATTTTGGACTTAAAGAAATTAATTATGAAAATTTTTGTGCCATTTAATTGATTAAAAAAGTTGATGTAATTTTAACGAGTATTTTGCTGAAAATTATCGGTGTACTAGACATCAATGAAACGGTAAATTATGTCATGACAGTAATTCACTGTCGAACCGTAGTTACTTTGAGGTCGACGAAGCTAAAATATTAAATTGGCCGGCGCGAATTACGACCGATTTGAGTTGGCTTGTTAACACGACCGGGTAGATGGCGCTACAATTAAAACAAAGCTCCCAAAACTGCCAGACGTAACGAGGGCGTTTCCGATATTTCATCGGGCCGAGCCGCCGCCGTGTTTATTAAATTATAAATTGATTGCAAGCGGTCATCAACCGTCAACGGTCGGATTAAAAGTTAATTCTCGTCCGATGACGACGTCCTAACACAATTTTTTTTAATTACAGGGACTGTCGCGTGGTGCGCGACCCACAAACTCTCAAGTCGAAAGGGTATGGGTTCGTCTCGTTCATCAAAAAAGCGGTATGTAAAAAAGTTTTTATTGTTATTATTCCGTGTATTGAACGCGGGGGTAAGTCGCTAAGAGGGTGCAAATCACTGCCACGAAAGGGGGGTCAGTAATACGTTCAGGACAACAACTCTCCAACGAGATGACCTCCCATTTTCCCGGAATGACAACCATAACGCAGAAATGTAAACCATTCCATTTCTAACGTTTCCCCAAAGCGTACGACCCCCTCCTTCGACCTCCATCTAAACTCCCCAAAAGGCTGTCACACAAGACGGAATCCTCGTTCGCGGGTTATTTCGTCGAATGGTGAAGTAAAAATGTTGAAACGACATCCGGAAAGTCAAGTTCGAGCGAAATATTAAACAGACAAAAGAGATAATCTTCATGGTTTTATAGCTTTTAATTAAAAAGGAAAAGAGAAACATGTTTATGATTCTATTGAAAATGTTAAAGTAACAATAAGTATTAAATAGGGTAATTTGTTGAGATAAACAAGATCACGTCTGGTAATCTAAATAAATTTAAGTTCCTAATTCCAGCATGTTTAGATTGTAGACCCCCTTCACGTATTCTAATTTCACGGAGGGAAGTTTCTTACATGTAGTGACCTTTAATATGAGGGGGAGGCAGCGAAGCTTGAAGCAATTATTTTCGAATCCCGGAAGAAACCGCAGGCCGGGCTTGGACGAGCTTGATATTTTTTTTCCTATTTAAATAAAAGCAATTTTGCCATCGACTCGCCGGATTTGTCGCTTATAAAGCGCAATAAATCCCGGAACGAAGTTCCCTGTATCAATCATATAAAACGCGGCGGCATATAAACCAGTGACACCGGATATTATTCCAGCTTTTCCGGTTTTTACAGGAAATTGAACTCCTCAGATTCGGGCGAAAAAGTGCAAAATAAAATTGTTGCGGTCGCCGGACGAAAATTCCTCAACGAAAGATGCAAACTATAAAGGGTCGTAATACGTCTAGAACAACAACTTCTCGGCGGATGGTGGTGCGTTTTCACGAAATGACGTCCATAACGTACAAATGTAACCCTTACCGTTTGCCCAACATTCGCCCCAAGACCGTAAAACCTTTGCGACTGAAACAGAATTTACATCAGGGTGCCAAATTTTCAGGCGCAATCCGGCTACAGTTGTAAAAAAATACCAAGCCACAGTTTCAACTATAGACTAAAGAATAAAATTTTACATAAACATTAAATCAGAATTCCGCACTTTAAAGAGGTTACTTTTATATTAACTTTGAAAAAAGCTATTATAAAGACATTTAAAAGTTTTATGTGTTACCTCACCCTCGAGACTACCATGAATGGATGTTTTATATTATATAGTACCTACAAACAGTAATGTCATTGTGATTTCAATGAATTTGGTTCTTATTTAAATTCAACGATTTCGCAAGTCTTCTACATTTTCCACTGGACTAGTGTAAACTAAAAATTTAAGATGGGTGAGGTCTATCTCGACCAATTCAGCGATCTCCATATGTCACATCTTAAATTTTTGCCGCATGTTTAATAAACACCCTGTATATTATCGGTTTATTTAATGAAAGCCGAGCTCGGTTGGAGCCGAGGCTCAATGATTAATATCATATCAACCTGAAGGCGCTACAATTGTGACAGCATATAATATAAATTGATTGATTATGCTTATGATATACATTGATATAAATAAGATAACCACCTTTAGGTTAGAATGATATTAATCACGGAGCCTCGCCCGCATGCGACCTCAGCTTTATCTGATAAAGGGCAAGCCTCAGTGATTAATATCATATCGACCTGAAGCTGATTATCATATTGCAGTGCCTCGGCTGCAAGCTCGACTTATTCAGTCAAAATATTTACAATTTCATCTGATAAAGCCGAGGTTGCTTGCGAACGAGGCTCAGTGATTAATATCATATCATCCTGAAGCTGATTATCATATTGCAGTTCTTATTTAAATTCAACGATTTCGCAAGTCTTCTACATTTTCCACTGGAGTAGTGTAAACTAAAGATTTAAGATAGCCCCATAGAAAAAAATTCCTCCACTTTGTTTGAATGAGCCTGTTTCGTGAAGATGTGTATAAATACTTTGGAAAATTTTTCTATAAGGTATATTACGGTGGGGAAATCGATCTATGTACAACCGCCTAGGTTTGATAATAGCCCATAAATAAAATGCATGTCAGTCATCTCGGCGTTCGTATAGCAATTCATGACAGAGGACTTTATTAACAATAGTTAATAAAGTAATAATAAAAAAATATAATAACCTTACGTCACTCAGTCTCGATAAATTCAACAGATACTAAGTCATCAATCGAAGATGTATTCCATTAAAATAAAATATTAATAATAAATAAACTGTATTTCTTTTCAATAGACTTAGTAATCGAAATGTTATTAAAAGATACTTTTATTTCGGCTAATTAGTAACTTTAAAAGTATCAAAAATGGTTCTGCTGAAAAATTTTTTTTGTCCTATATTTTTGAAACAAAGCGGATATCCAGAAATCGTTGAAGGACAAAATATTCTTAGAATAGCCCAAAGAGTAACATCTTAAATTTTTACCGCATGTTTAATAAACATCCTGTATATTATCGGTTGATTTAATGAAAGCCGAGATCGGTTGGAGCCGAGGCTCAATGATTAAAATCATATCAACCTGAAGGCGCAACAATTGTAACAGCATATGATATAAATTGATTGATTATGATATACATTGATATAAATAAGATAACCACCTTTAGGTTGGAATGATATTAATCACGGATCCTCGCCATCATACGACCTCAGCTTTATCTGATAAAGAACGAGCCTCAGTAATTAATATCATATCGACCTGAAGCTGATTATCATATTGCAGTGCCTCGGCTGAAAGCTCGACTTATTCAGTCAAAATATTTACAATTTCATCTGATAAAGCCGAGGTCGCTTGCGAACGAGGCTCAGTGATTAATATCATATCATCCTGAAGCTGATTATCATATTGCAGTTCTTATTTAAATTCAACGATTTCGCAAGTCTTCTACATTTTCCACTGGAGTAGTGTAAACTAAAGATTTAAGATGGCCCCATAGACAAAAATCCAGGGATCGGGCAGGCCACAAGTGAGGTCCACCTCGGCCAATTCAGCGATCTCATATGTTACTGCCAAAAACTCACGAGCAACCCTACCAAAATGCGTTGGTGTACCATCGTGCATAAACCACATTGAATTTCTTATTTCCAGTGGTATGTCCTCTAGAAACTGATAAACGTTTGTTCCAAAAAGTTGCAGTACACTTCGCCTGCAAGTCTCCTTGGTAGAAATAGTGGTCCAGCTAGCCCACAATTCCATCCCGAACGTTTAATGAGAACTGATATTGAAATCGTTCTTCACTTAGCTCATGTGGATTTTCTTCAGCCCACACATGGTTATTGTAAAAATTCCTTATTGCATTTCTAGAAAGATTCGCTTCATCAGTAAAAAGACTTCAAAGTCAGTAGTTCAGTCCTAATAGTAACAGTCCCATTACTTACATTCAAAGTATTTGCAATTATGCGAGTTCTACCGTTCTGCCTATTATTGGCCTTCCTAATCCTCCACTTCGTTTGAATGAGCCTGTTTCGTAAAGATGTTGATGAATACTTTGGAAAATTTTTCTATAAGGTATATTACGGTGGGGAAATCGATCTATGTACAACCGCCTAGGTTTCATAATAGCTCATAAATAAAATGCATGTCAGTCATCTCGGCGTTCGTATAGCACTTCATGACAGAGGACTTTATTAACAATAGTTAATAAAGTAATAATAAAAAAATATAATAACCGAACGTCACTCAGTCTCGATAAATTCAACAGATACTAAGTCATCAATCGAGAAATGTATTCTATTAAAATAACAAAATATTAATAATAAATAAACTGTATTTCTTTTCGCTAGACTTAGTAATCGAAATGTTATTAAAACATACTTTTATTTCGGCTAAATTAGTAACTTTAAAAGTATCAAAAATGGTTCTGCTGAAAATTTTTTTTATCCTATATTTTTGAAACAAAGCGGATTTCCAGAAATCGTTGAAGGACAAAATATTCTTAGAATAGCCCAAAGAGTAACATCTTAAATTTTTGCCGCATGTTTAATAAACACCCTGTATATTATCGGTTGATTTAATGAAAGCCGAGATCAGTTGGAGCCGAGGCTCAATGATTAAAATCGTATCAACCGGAAGGCACTACAATTGTGACAGCATATGATATAAATTGATTGATTATGATATACATTGATATAAATAAGATAACCACCTTTAGGTTGGAATGATATTAATCACGGATCCTCGCCCGCATGTGACCTCAGCTTTATCTGATAAAGGACGAGCCTCAGTGATTAATATCATATCGACCTGAAGCTGATTATCACATTGCAGTGCTTCGGCTGCAAGCTCGACCTATTCAGTCAAAATATTTACAATTTCATCTGATAAAGCCGAGGTAGCTTGCGGACGAGGCTCAGTGATTAATATCATATCACCCTGAAGCTGATTATCATATTGCAGTTCTTATTTGAATTCGACGATTTCGCAAGTCTTCTACATTTTCCACTGGAGTAGTGTAAACTAAAGATTTAAGGTGGCCCCATAGAAAAAAATCCAGGGATGGGGCAGGCCACAAGTGAGGTCCATCTCGGCTAATTCAGCGATCTCCATATGTTACTGCCAAAAACTCACGAGCAACCCTACTAAAATGCGCTGGTACACCATCGTGCATAAACCACATTGAATTTCTTATTTCCAGTGGTATGTCCTCTAGAAACTGATAAACGTTTGTTCCAAAAAGTTGCAATACACTTCGCCGGTAAGTTTCCTTGGTAGAAATAGTGGTCCAACTAGATGTAGAAAGTAGAGGTAGATGTTGAAATCGTTCTTCACTTAGCTGATGTGGATTTTCTTCAGCCTTAAAAAAATTCCTTATTGCAATTCTTGAAAAATTTGCTTCATCAGTAAAAAGTCTTCAAAGTCAGTAG